TGACCTGAACATACTGAAGGCCTGAACAAGGGCTGATTGTTGGAGAGTGGTAGAGAAAGGGAGGAGCAGAGTGCAGAGGGGAGGTTCCTTACAAAGAGGACACAGACTTTGTTTCTGAATAAGCCTAGCACCTAATTGTTTATATGTTCCTAAAGGCTTACTTTTAGTGGCCTTATGGCTTAGATTTGAAATGTCCTCCAAAATACACGTGCTAAAGTCTTGGTTGTTAGGTGATGACTGTTTTGGGAAGTGATTGAATCATGAGGGGACTAACTTCATCATGTGGATTAATCCATTGATCAGATCATAATTTGAGAGTATTGAGAGGTGATATAAATAAGTATTAAGGGCTTTTTACAAAAAAATTCATTTATTTTAAAAAATTTTCTTTTTTGGTGGAACTGAGGATTGAACTCAGTCCCTTGTGCTTGCCAGGGAAGCACTTATTCCACTGAGCCATCTCCCTGGACCCCCCTTTTTTAGGGGCTTATTAAAAGGAATGCCACATGGGGCCAGGACCTTGGGGACCATATGTTCTCCCCAGTCCTTTCCTCTCTCGCTTCTTTCTACATCGTCTGCTTCCTGGCTATATCATGTGAGCATCTTTGCTCATCCATACCCTCATCACCATGACATTCTTTTGCCTTGCCATGAGCTTAGACACAGAGCCAAGGACCCAAGAATCAAAATATCTTTCCTTATAAATTGTTCATTTCACATACTTTGTCACAGCAGATAGATAGATAGATAGATAGATAGATAGATAGATAGATAGACAGATAGACAGATTAAAGCTGACTGGCATGGTGACCTGTTGTTGTCATCTTCTAAGAATTTCTATCAGCTGTGTAATCTAAAGATACTAGTTCATATTTATTGATTAGACATGGAGACACGATGTATGTATACACTCAGTGGCACTCTGTCTACCTTACATCCGGTGGAATTTGTTTTTATTCTTAAACTTATAGGTAGATTTATATAACTTGATTTATGGAACAGGTCATAGATTGAAAAATTCAAGTTCCACAGATATTTTATGAGATAGAATATAACATTTAAAAATGGAGAGTAATGATTTGGAAAGTTCATGGTATTTTACCCGAAAGAAACTTCCTTTTTTGGAGCTTCAATTTTAATAATGGTGTGTTTGCCATCTTCATTAGTGCAGTGCAGGAATGTTATTAATCATGATAATATGGGGTTTTGGGGAGGACTGTTGAGTTTTTGTGGTAAGGTGAGCTTGTCAGAAAATTGTGTTAGTAATGTACTTTACATGGTTTTAGATTCGCTTGCTTTTCAGCCTGAGTTGCTCAATAAGTATGGATGTTCTATCAAGGAGATTTGTCTTCTAATTATGGAAATGATGTTACATTGCTGCTGTAGTCGGTTTACAACTTTTCCTGCTGTCTCAAGTAGCCCTTGCAAGGTGGAACATTTTGTGAGCTATTTGGCCTTTAGCTTAATTAGCTCTCTGTTAGGATATGGGCTGTGTGTGTGTGTGTGTGTGGGGGGGGTTATCTAGTGTACAACCAGATGGAAAAGTGGCCCGTTACTATTTTGTGTCTGGAGGAGTTGGTTAGAGAATTCCAACTTACCAGTATTTTCATTACAGTGCTAGCCCTTAAACAAAACTTAGTGGCTTTGAATCTAGCCATGAATGTCCTTTATCAAGGTGTCAAGCAATTTGGCAGTATCCTCATTGAATGGAGAAGTAGTGAAATCAGACAGTTTGGAAGAAGCAACCCCATTAACTATGGATGTCATGTGTTTGCTATAAATATTAGCGACAGGGCCCTATTTCACGATTGATAGTTCCCAGAGCTACTTTTTTGTGGAACTGATGAACAAATCAGACATGGTATTGCCTTGCCTATTTTGAATTACTTTTGGAAAGATATTAGTTTATTTATGAGAAATCCTGTTATGCCCATTATCCTACAAGCTGAGACTATCAATCAGACTAAAAATCATTGAAATTACACACAGTTGTGTATTGAAGATGAGGATACACTCTGGAGATATGCTAGTAAGTCTTGTCAAATATTACGCCATGTTTACACAAACCTAGGTGGTAGCAATCAATTATTCCGCATGGCTTCTTGATACAGTCTAGAGCCTTAGTAAAAATGAGATTCATGAGGCTGCTGCCAGTGTAACACAGCTTACTATTTTTTTTTTTTTTTTTTTTGGTGGAACTGGGGATTGAACTCAGGCCCTTGTGCTCGTCAGAGAAGCACTTATTCCACTGAGCTATCTCCCCAGCCCCCAGCTTACTATTTTCAATAAGATTTTTTTTTATGTACAAATAGAAAGAAAACACTCTAAAATAATAATAAATATGCATAACAGTAAGTACCTAATCTGGTCACAGCTGTCTATTATAAGGTATTGTGTACTGTCCATAATTATACATGTTCCACTTTCTTATGAAAGTCAGGGCAGTAGATTGATTTATTCGAGCAAGACTATAGACACATGATTAACATGTAGTGCTATCACATTCTAATGGCTACAGTGTCAGTAGGCCAGCACTCCTCTGTCTTTTGAGCACTAATGGTCACTTTTGTGAAAGACCATTTTTTTTTGTATTCAGTGTTTATTGTTTGCTTGTTTGTTTTTGTATTTTAGGGAAGGGTCTACAGGATGCCCAGGGTCTCACTACTAGACCTGACTCGTAGTGATCCACCTATTTGTGGCCTCCCAAGAGATGGGATTATAGGTGCACACCACCACACCCAGGGATTGAATCCCTGGGCCCTG